GTCCCTTTGAGAAGCCTTCAGCGTCTGAGCCATGCAGGGGTGTGTGTGTTGGCATCCATGTGGCTTGTTCCCACCGTTCTCATTCATGATCCTTGCTCTTGCTCCATGGTGGGCTTGTCTCTCCTGACCCATCACTGGCCTCTGGTTGGCCTCTTCTCAGCAGATGTGGGCTGGATTCTCAATTGCCACTCTTTTTTTTTTAGCTGAGCCATCCTGTCACCTGTTGGCAACTCAGTGGCAGCTCAGCTATGACCGAACATCAAACTGCTGTTGCTCAGAGCTCGCACTCTTGAGCGAGCTCTTAACCAACTGAGCCACTCGGCCGGCCCCTCAATAGCTGCTCTTGTTAGATTGATTGTAAGATAAGTGTAAGTGACACCAAGGATTTTTAAGAGCTTTGAGATGAGTTTGGATTTGGAGGAATGGGTTGTGTAGCATTCACTGTGGCTGTTCCCACGCTTTGAAGGGTTTTGACTATATTCCAGATACCTGAGGGCATCAAATGAAGTGATTTCTGGATAAATGAGGGATTGATGTAGAAATCTTTTGAAGTACGGTACTTTTATTACTTTCAAGTCTATGCAGTAAGACTAATAAGATATTTCTGAGGAGAAGCCTTGCCGAATCTATTTTGATGATTAGTTAGGACATGCTTGCAATTAGTATCATGCGTTTCCATAAAGGTATTATTCTAATGCTCTCTTTTTTCGAAAGTAGTTTAACTAGCTAATATGATTGTTATTAATTTTACATGATAAGCTTCTCAACATACAGCAATTGTACATAAAATTGCACTCAATTAAAGCCAAATTCATAGAACCTAAAATCATGAATCAGAAGAGTTTTGGGGTTCTGTCTCCTGTTTTTTTAATTACAGTGCCAAAAGAGCTCCAAACAGTCTTTACAGCAAGGAAGACAGAAATAGGCATGTTGAGACCAACAGGAAAAGCACATTTACTAGAAAACAGTGGTTTCTTAATTAGAGGGCCTGGTAAGGGAGAGTGGCTAAGGGATTTTGGGTCCCTGGGACCATGTTGGCCAAGACCCCACGACCACAGAGATGCTCAGAAGGAACCTTGATGAGATGCATAAGGGGGGGCCCTTGCTGAGACCAGCTAATGGGGGAGTGGGGTTGGGGAGCAGCCAGGTTCTTTCCCAGGAAGGTACTGAGAAGGTTTAAACCACATAATGACAGTCCGCCCACAAAGGAACTTGCCAAGCCTGGACTTGCTGGGTGTTTTATTTACTTGAAGAAATTTCTTCAGCTCTAAATATACAAAGATAGTGCAGTTCATTACGCCATGCCTTCCCCTACCCCAACCTTGTAGTTGTTGAGAACAATACTCTGGAATTTAGTTTATTCCTAGCCAGGGAGCAGAGGACCAAATGTGGGGCTCAAGTTATGAAGGCGAACATGCTCTCAAGAGTTTGAAGCCCTTCAGAGAACTCAATTCCCAGTGTGGTAAGGACTTCACCATGAGAAAGGAAGTCCTAGGAGCTCCTTGTCCTCAGTGCTGTTGTGCAGGGGCCTCGGCTTTGCTGAGGACTGTGATGGGGTGAGGAAATGGAAGCTGGGGCCAAGGTCACTTGCTCCACGCCCTGGAAGGGAGATGGATTTGAAGAAGCGCCCATGAAAAGGACATGCCGGCCTACCCTGCCTGTGCAGCGCTGACTCAACAGCTCCTCTGGGACAGACGCTGTTTCCGGTGTGAAAGATAAAACATCTCTGCCACCAGGTGGCTTATGTTCTAGTTGGGGACAACAAAAGAATATCAAAAAAATATAGGTGAACAAATCTGTAATGTAGCAATTTCAGGTCATGATAAAAGATGTGAAGAAAATAAAACAGGGTGATATGAGAGTGACCAAGGGGCTCCTTTAGATGAAGTGTCAGGAAGTCATTCCCCTTGAGGGGAAATTTCTCAGACCTGAAGGACAGGAAAAGGTCATTCCTGTGGTGGTGACTGGTTAGGGACTAGCCAACGAGAAGTTCTGAATCATGAACAGGCTTCAGCATGTTAAAAACATATAGTCACATGACTAAAGAAAGGTGATGGAGGTGAGGGTTGTGCACTGATTGGCTGGTGATAGGAGCACACTGGGCAGCAGGGAGAGTGACAGGAGAGAATATCAGAGACCTACACAGAGGCCAGGACATAAAACCTTCAGGCGTGGATTATATCCTGAATGGGATGCAGAGCGACTGGAAGGTTGAGAGGGCAGTGGCCACTCTGGCTGCTGTTTGGAGAATGGACTTCAAGGGGACAAGGCTGGATGTACTTAAGAGGCTCTCACAGTAGCCCAGCGTGGACAGGGAGGTGGAGAGGTGGACTGAGTCAGGACAGGAAGTTCTGTCAGGGCTGGCAGATGGATTTGTTGTGAGAATGTGGTAGGAGTAATGCCGGGTGAGTCCCACGTGCCACTCAGATGACAGGGCCTTGGATTGAGATGAGACTGTGGAAGGAACAGGCTGGGAGTGGTAGGTGGAATGGAGTGAACATGAGTAAAAATCAAGAGTTCCCTTGTGGCCACATTGACTTTGAGGTGCCTGTTAGTGTCTGCATGGAGATGTCAGGGGTCAGGTGAGTGTGCAACCACCTGGCTCACGAGTTTGGTCAGGTCTGGGAAGTAGCAGTTAGCACTCAGTCACAGATGGAGTTTAAAACCAGAAAACTGAATGAGCTCACTTAGAGAGAGTGTGTGGAAAGAGAAGGAAAGGGCACATGAGTGAACTTTAAGGCCTTTCCTCATCTTGAAGTTGAGCACCATAGAAGGAGCCAGCAAAGGGGGGGCCATTCAAGTAGGAGACTGTGGTTGGCCATGATGGGATGACATTGTTTCTGGAGAGAGCAATTAATTGTGTCCTGTGCTATTGACAGTTGACCTTAAATGGGCACAGAGAAGTAACCGTTGGATTTGATCAATTGGAGGCCATTGGCAACCATGACAAGCGTAATTTAATTGGCATGGTGGTGATAGAAGCCCTGTCAGGTTGGATTTAGGAGCCAGTTGGAAGTGCAGAAGTGCAGCCAGGACTGTGACAACTCTTTTGAGAAGTTTTCTTATAAATGGCACTGGCTAGAGAGAGCTGTGGAATCAGGGAAATGACAGATAGCTTACTAGAGAAGTGTGACAGGAGAAAAGGGCAAGGACATAGAGGGGTTTGCATGATGTTGGAGAAATGACTTGGGGTGGGTGGTGCTTTAGTGCTGTTCCCTGGGGGGACTGCACAATACTCCAAGTTCCCTGTAAAATCTACATGTGTCCCTACTATTCTGATGTGAGAAGATGCCTCCAGGAGGCCCTGGGTCTTCCTTGGGCTGCAAATGGAGAACCTGGAGCCTATTCTCCACAACCACGGTGATGGAGGCAAGGGTTATGCAATTAATGATTGGTCATTAATTGATTCATTTGTTCATTGGAAACATCGCTGAGCCCACTCTGTGCCAAGTGTAGTTCCAGGCCCTGCAGACACAGTGCAAATAATCCCCTCTCCCCTGCCTGTAGGGGGTAGAGTGCTGACAAGCAAACTGCTGGGGGTGGGTCTAGCGGGCTGGTTGGTTGTTTCTCAGATGCATGATTTGAACCCATTTGCAGGAGGTAGTTGGTATGTGAGTTTCTTGAGGAGGAGGTTCTAGGAAGGAAGTAGGGTCCAGGAAATGAGACTGTGGGTGAAGGTTGCAGCAGCCTCTGGGTGGACAGGAGGCAGCTGACCTGCAAACTTCTGCTGCTGCCACAGCCCAGGGTTGGCTGAGCTGCAGTTGGAGGTTTGGGAATTTCTCTGGGTGAGGAATCTGTGACATGTGAAGGGAGCCCTTGGGCTGTGGGTGGCTCCTTCCAATTACTGTGCCCATGGCCCAGCAAGTGTGGGTTTTCAGGCCCCAAGTGGCCTTTTCTGATCAGTTTTAAGAGGGAGACGTGGTTTAGATTCTGCTTATCAAGCTACCTTGGACAAATAATTTAACCTGGTGTGCCTCTTTCATCACTAGAAAAGTGAGAATTGTGATCATTCCTACCTTACAATGTTCTAATCTGGATAAAATGAAGTACAGTAACCCCCCCCTGCCCCCCATCCACGGCTTCACTTTCCATGGTTTCAGTTACCCACAGTCAACTGCGGTCCAAAAATATTAAATGGAAAATTCCAGAAATAAACAATTCATAAGTTAAATTGCTCGCCATTCTAGTAGCGTGATGAAATCTCATGATGTCCTGTTCAGTCCTGCCCGGGAGGTGAGTCATCCCTTTGTCCCGCATCCCTCTGTCTGCCTGGCAGTCACTTAGTAGCTGTCTTGGTTCACAGATCCACTATCTTAGTATCACAGTGCTTACATTCGAACGACTCTTATAGTAGCCTAACACTGTGTCCCAGTGCCTGCGTCATTCACTTCACTTCATCTCATTGTGTAGGCATTATATCATCCCACATGACCCCCCAAAGGAGTACAGTGTAATAAGATATTTTGAGAGAGACCACATTCACATAACTTTTATTATACTACCTTGTTATAGTTGTAATTTTATTATGGTTATTGTTCGTTAATCTCCTATTGTGCCTAATTTATATATTAAACTTTATCATAGGTATGTATGTATAGAAAAAAAAATAGTATACATAGGGTTTGACATGATCTGCTGTTTCAAGCATCCACTAGGAGGTCTTGGAGCTTATCCCCCATGGATAAGGGGGATTGCTGTAACTGATTCAGTAACCACTACCTAGGATGTTGAGAGACAACCGCGTGTGAGCTCAGGGACCAAAGGCCCTGGATTTGACTTCTGATTCTATTTTAGGGGTGTGCCTCAGTTTCCTGATCAATGCAATGGGGATAATTCTATTACCTGCCTTCTGAGGTATCTGATGAAGGAATCTGTGTAATCTTTGAGCAGAGCGCTTGGGCCGAAGCCAGCCCTGGGTGCCAGCTCCTGTTAAGAGACGATGCCTTTGGGCATGCATGGCTGTGTGTGCAGCTCTGTGATGGTTTATGTTTTCTGCGCAGTTTCGCCTGGTGGTGAAGACAGCCCTGAAGCTGCTGCTCGTCTTTGTGGAGTACTCGGAGTCAAATGCACCTCTTCTGATTCAGGCTGTCTCTGCTGTCGACACCAAAAGAGGTGAGTGGTCCCCGCCCCCTTATTTCATCAAAGTAAAAAAGTCTGATGCAGGAAGGCATCCACTTTTTATCTGTTCAAAGCAGAAATGAGAATGAACAGAATTCCCCTTGTGTGGACCTCCCACTGCAGGAAATATATGTTTTTAGGATAGTAAGTATATGAAAATTATAGATGGAACAAGCTTTGACAGGGAAAGAAAGGCACCCATGAGCATACCCAGGACAGACTTCAACCTGAGCTTGTTTTAATGCTCTGTCCCCAGCCCCTGTCACTGAATACATAGAGAACCAGCTCCTTCTCCTCTTTTCCCATCTTGCCTGTTTCATCTTGTCTTCTTCCTCCCCACCTTTCACACATGCTATTTCTGCTCTGACCCTTAGATGGGACCCAAACGAGGGTAAGTCTGTGTGCTTCTTTCTACCATAGCATGTTGCTATCTGGTGCCAGATTTGAAATCCCTCATGGTCAAGAGTAGATCATGGGGCCAACTAAGAATCCTTAATGAAGACTGCCAATGGCTCAGAATCCAGTGTTGGTATTTTCCAAGGCCAGTGAATGAGGTTTAGGGCCAAAGGTAGGTGTTTGGGAAGACAGCGAGGCAAATCCTTTTATTGATTCTTGGAGGAGTCATGTTCTATCCCCCAACTCTGGGGGTTACTTTAGGATGATGAATGGATTCTTCATTTTCCTGCTCTAAATTTCGGGTAACCCATGGGCTCTTTTCATGGAGGCTGAGTGAGACGGGATAGACTTCTCATGACCTTGGGGTTGTGCTTTGACTTTGTTGAGTTGGGAGCTCAGAGTTGCCTTACTTGGACTTCACATTGCTTGAAGGGTATGTTGTGGGGGTAGAGGAATGATTCTGAGGTGATTCCAAGTCATGACACCCACATCCAAGACCCCATCTACTGGCCCCGCCAAAGGCTGTTACTCAGTCTCTCCCCCAAGACAAATGGATGGCCATCTTTTTCCAATTTGTAAAAAAAAATAATAATAAAATAAAGAGAGAAAGAAAGAAAGAAAGAAAGAAACTCCCCCACCCCAAAAAACTTAAAGAAGCTAATGGATTGTTTTCTTAATTTCATGTTTTTTTTGCCTATAAATTTTCTTAAGTTTTTGGCAACTACTGTCATCTTTCTGCTACTGAGCACAAGCTACAAAAAAAAAAAAAAAGAAAGAAAAAAAAGAAAAACTCAGATGTAGCTTATCACATGTGGTTCAATAGCTTGTTTCTCTATGGACATGTGTGGTCTTGGCCATAGTTTTATAATACATGCATATAACATCATCCTATTTTACTGCTAGTAAAATTGTTCCCGAACCCTATGATGGAATTAAACATATAAATATATCACGGTGTTTGCAGAGAGCGATATGACTTCCAGGTGTGTTTCCACCAGGAGGTTTTAGAAGCAGCTCTCTTCTTCCTTCTCAGCTGGGCGAGAAAGTAGACAAGGGTGCCAGAAGTGACCGAGGGCCAACCGAGCATGTCCATTGTGCACAAGGTTATAAATAAGCCATAAATTTTACTCCTCAAGTGGCTTTAGACACATCCCTTTGGGGGATAAGGTGGAGAATGGGTGTGTTAAAGTATAGACTGGTTTTTTAATAGAATGGAATCCTTTTGGATGATGAAACTGTCAGATTTAAAGACTCAATAAAAAAAACCAACAAATAAGCTACGAGTCCTCAAAAATTGCTACCACCAACAGCAAATGAAGTTGTCCCAGAATAAATGCCCCTGATTGCTTCAAAAACATCATGAGGGGTTAACTGGAAGGGTTCATTCTGTGAGCGTGGGCAGCTTGCCCTTTGGTCAAGAGTGGACCAGTTAGGGAGCAGGGATAAAAGCTGAGGTGTCTAAGTTCATCATAGGGACTAATAAGTATTTATGAAATAATGAAAATTAAAAATGCCCTATTTGATGCAGGCAATTAGCACTTTTGCTGAGGGGCTGGAATTAAAAGGTAAATTCGAGCTAGTCTCTGGGGCATGACACAGAGGCTCTGTGCTGTATTCAGTCTCTCCCCCAAGATAAAATGATGACCATCTTTTCCCAATTTATAAAAAAAAAACAAAAACAACATTAAAAATTTTAAAGCAGACACACCCGTTTGCTCAGACTGCTGGGTCATCTTTTTTCCCTTTCTAGTGGACAGGGCCTGGCCGGAAGAGAGAAAGGCAGTGTGTACTCACTGGAGCCCATGAGAGGGTCTTGCTTTGTCATTCTACCATCACCAGAGATTCCCTTTCCTTGAGATCTTTCCTGTCGTAATTGACAAGACACTGGCTGAGAACCCTCTGTAGCCCTGGGAAGGGTGCCCTTCCCTCTGACTATATGGGTTTACCTCTCAGAGGGTGGGGCAAGTGACCAGGCTGGGTAACTAACCTGTTTTGACATTTCAGTCATAAATTGTGAGTCAGCGCTAATTTGGTTCAGCACTGCTTTTGAAGAAGTTCCATTTTTCATTTGAATACGAGGCGATGAGATATGACATAATTCTTAAACATGTGTATCACACATGATTAACAGGGAAAAAAATCCAGCCATCCTTTCAAGCTACCCTGTCTCTGACTTCTGCTCAAGGATATATTGATCTGTGAAGAATGCACAAAGCATGGTGGAAGTTAGGGGTTGACAGAACTCAAGCTCTGTTTCCATTATTTATAGCCGAAGTATATATGTTAAGTGTGTTTATCAATCGTGTTGAAAGACATGGCACATGGAATGTACTGTGAGGACTTTCTGTTTGAGTGTTAGACCAACTCATGTACAAGGCACTGTGCTCAATACCTTATTTTCCTTGGGGTTCAATGTAGAGACCTAGGAGGAAAGTAAGAGGGAGAAAATATTGAGTGATTTTTTTTCTGTGTTTATTTATTCTGGATTAAAAGAGAGGCACTGTGGTTTGGGGAAGAGAGGGCTGGCCTGGGAGCCTGGGTAGAAGGCCTGTGGGTAAGTGTGGGTGACATCACCACCCCCAACCACTATTACAATTATAGCTACTGATATCCTAGTGCTTACCATGTAACAGACACTATGCTAAGCACTTCTCACATACAGCTCATGTATTCAACAAATATTTAAGTACTAACTATGTGCTTGAAACATCAGAGGAAAAAACACGCTCCCACAATCTACACTCACTCCAGTGTTTGGGGGGTGGAAACAGAGAGAGACAGAGGATCATGATTAAGTAAATTATTGTCTTCTAATGAACTCCATCACGGCTTAGGGAAAAAGGCGAAATGTTTCATCTCAGTGATCTCTCACAGCAGTCCCATTAGGTTGTTACCATCACTTAATTTAGATGCATTTCCTGAGCCACCATTCATTCCACAACTTAGGGCTCTGTTGTATGGAGGGTTAAGGTCATATGGCTTATGATTCTGAAACAGGACCCCCACCCCCTACCCGCACATACATGCAAACACATAACCACTGTGTGGAGTAAGCGAAGGTGGCTCTGGCATGAACTGAGCCACTTGGCTCTGGTGACTGCTCTTGGGAAAGTTACAACTGCTGGCTCTTAACATAGGCCAGCTTGAGCCCTGCCAAGGCTGTTGTGTTGCACCAAAATGTTCCCTTCCCTTTACCTTCATTCTTTGAAATAGTTCCCATTTTCTGGTCCCCAATCAAAGGTGAATGAACATTCATCCCAACAGTGCACAAATATATCCAAGTTTCCAGACTTGAAATCTTTGAACGGTGATGAGGGTGTCAGATATCGCAGCTGACGAAACACATTTCTCAATTAAATTGAGCCAGTGTTTGAGCGTTTTCATCATGAAGGATAAAATGTTGCACAAGTGTTTTTCTGTGTGTAGGTGACAGAGAGGTTATAATCTGGCTACTTCCCTCTCTTCAAGGGGCCTGCCTTTGCTTCTTGGTCCTTCTTTCCCTAGACTCTGTTTGGCTCCAAAGTATGCAAGCAGGAAGCAATTCCAGGCCCACTAGCACCACTGGAAAGTCTTAGCTTCAGTGCTTTCTCTCCTGTACAGTCTTCCTTTTAGCCACAGGTGGGTAGCCCACTAGAACACACACTTTCTGTTGAGGTTGGGTGCCGAGTGGGAATAATAGAAGTTGCCTTTGTTATAAACACAAGCAGAGGCACTTACAGGGCTTGAACTGCACCTGCACAGTGAGACTCAAGACCTACTGACTATATTGATTGACTGTCCTGAGGTCAGAAATGGTGACTTCGCTGGGGTCTGATGAACAGGTGAGGACTTCAAAATAGTTTGGTGATAAATATCAGGAAGAGGATAATTCAGCAGTTAACAGATGAAGGATCATGCTTTTCTGTTCAGGGTTTGCAAGGGTTATGGAAGCTTGCCTCATTCTGACCAACTGGGGAGCTTGGCCAAAGGAGAGGCTTTCTGTTTGCTTGCTAGGTGAGCCAGTGGAGCTGTATATCAAACTACATCCATGTCTTTCACATTGTGTAGTGCCTGTTCCTTTTAAAAATTCTCCTGTCTTCCCTACTTTTCTTACTGTGTGAATTTACTCTCCGGTTCATTTAAAACTGCGCCAGCTTAACCCACGTCATGCCCTCTGAAAGATCTTCTTTCACTAGTCAGACATTTTATTGAGCACCTAGTATATGCCAAGCATTGTGCTAAGAGCACAGCAATAAGGCAGATACTATTGTCGTCCTCGGGGAGCTTTTGTTCTCAAGGCCAGGAAATCAGCTCTGACATAACGCACCCAAGAACCAGCATTTGGAAGCCACTGGTTTTAAGCTATTTTAGAATTTACTTTGATCAGCAAAAATAAACAATATCTCTTTAAGATCTTTCTAGAGAAAGCAGGAAAGAGTTTCATGTACCACACCAGCATGCCAAGGGCAAAGCAGCACTTCACTCCAAATATTTGTCTCAGGCAGAAGAAATTGTGTCAGGGTGCTGTGCCCCCTTGGTGACCTTGGCGGTCCTGAATGTGAAGGGTTTTCCTGCCCTCTCCTGGAGCCAGGGGCTAAGTACCCATGAGCCTTCACCTGCAGAGCCTCATTTAGGAGCCACCTCTACACCAAGCCCTCCACTACCATCACACCCTCACTAAGTGACAGGCTTAGATCAGTGCTTTTGCCTTTTGAGTGATTTTAGTCTGTGCTGAAGTGTGTTGTTGTGCTTATGCCTAACTGCTCCATTAGATTATAAACCTCTTGAGGACAGCCTCCCACTAGATCCAGCTGCTCCTACTTGGTTGATGCTTTAAACGTTATTTATACCTTGATTGAATGAGATAATATACTCCCGTTCTTGAAATGTTTGCTAAATGGACGTTTCACTGTTAGTCCTTGGAGCCCACTGCTAGCGCGAATGTAAAGCCCTCACGCATTCCCTTTCCTCGCAGGAGATCAGAGCCCAGCACGCCGATGTACAGAGAGTGCTCATCGAGAGCTTCTGCGGGGGAGAGTGAAATGCATGGCCTAACAAGCTGCACATGAATGCATTTTTAAAAAGTTACATATTTAATATAAAGGGAGATTTTCAAGCAAATTGATAGGTACCCTGACACTGAAGAATATATGTTTTCAAGTGAACAAGGATAATGTGGTGTATCATCACCTAATTAGAAGCACGTGTCACACTTTGAAATTTGGTGACTGATATTTGGTGCCATCATTGGGTGAAGAGTCTTTAGATGAACTGTGATGTGAGTTGGATAAGGCCAGTTGAATTACTGCTCCTAATGATTTGTGCTTTATTCATAGGAGTCATACCCTGGTCAAATATCATGGAGATCCTGGAGGAAAAGGATGGGGTCGACACAGAGCTGCTGGTTTACGCGATGACTTTAGTGAACAAGGTTGGTTGATGTGTGTTATGGGTTGAATTGTGTCCCCCAAAAGATATGTTGAAGTCCTTTTAACCCCTGGTACCTGTGAATGTGACCTTATTTGCCAAAAGGGTCTTTGAAGATGTAATCAAGTTAACATGAGGTCATTAGGGTGGGACCTAATCCATTATGACTGGTGTCCTTATAAGAAGAGGAAAAGAGACACACTGAGGGAAGATTATGTATATACATGTACATGAGGAAGACAGAGGCAGAGACTGGAGTGATGCATCTATAAGCCAAGGAAGGCCATGGAATGCCAAGGATGGCCAGTAGCTAACCTAGGATGAGGCAAGGAAAGACCATCCCCTAGAGTCTTCAGAGAGAGCATGGCCCTGCTGACACCTTGATGTCACACTTCTAGTTTCTCAGTGAGAGAATAAATTTATGTTGTTTTAAGCCACCAGTTGGTGGTACATTGATACAGTAGCCCTAGAAAACTAATGGAACATGAGGATCTAAAATTTGCCATCTGAATTAGAGCCACATCATATGGACCCCATCATGGTGGCTGGAACCATGGCTGCAGTGTGCTTCTTCACAGGAGAAAACCCTTTACACCCATGCATGATGTGTGTGCATGTGTGCTGGTGCATATACGTGTGAAGGCCTGTGGGTGTTTGCATGCGCCCTGTGTTTCGTCTTTTCTCAGAAAACCAGAAAGAAATTTTATGACTACTTTTCCTATCAAGATATCCCCTTAAAAACATTTTTCTGTGAACATATAGCTTAGCAAGCTTTACTCTAAGGAAATAGCTCACAGGAAGAAGTGAAGGCTCTCTCATTTCACTGCTTATTGAATTCTGACTTCTGAGGGTGACATGAGGATTCCTGGGGGTGGCCCCATCCTCCTTTGATGGTGGTGACTACACCCTTGTGCTCTCATGCCTCCCTTCACATCCCTCCCTAGTCACCACCTTGGAAGGCAGTTGTAGTGTTCAGTATCCATCCCCCGAGATGCTGCTCTGACAATGGGTCCCACGCTGGCCTGGGACAGCCTCCTCTTGGGACTGGAGTTCCTTCATTCTAGTACCTCAGTCCCTTCCTCCTGGAATGGGGGTGGTTATCCTGCAGATTGCTACGCCCTAGACCCCAGGCTGCACATCAACCGCCCCCCTCCCAGTGGGCCTTCCTTGTACACTCCAGGCTGCTGGGTGCCAGCCTACAGAGAAGACCCAGAATCTCTTCCTGAAATGTAACTGGAGAAACATGTCCTCTGATGAACTGGAGACAAATTAGTAGGAAACAGCATAATCATGAGGAGTAACTTGTACTAGGTATTAAAATGTTGTACAAACTCTAAGGATTAAAGAAATGTGGTCCTAGCTCTTCGCGTGGCAGACAGATGATTGCAGCAGAGGAGCTCTGAAACAAACCCCAGTGTACAGAGCAACTTCCCCTGTGATTGAAACCCGTGGGGATGGGTTAGCTTCATTCATGATTGGGGAGGTCTTGCTAGATGGAAATAAACAAAAAGCATACTTTGACCATGTACCAAAATAAATTCCAGATCGATTAAAGAGCTCAGTGCAGGGGCCATTTGAGATCTTGCTCCCTGGCATATGTCATCAGGTTGGCGCAAATAAACTCTTATAAAAATCCAAAAAAAAAAAAAACCAAGCCAAAAAAACAAAAACAAAAGAGTTCAATGTAACACATCAAACCATAGAACAATGATAAGGAACTAGAGATGAAGATGACTTGATCTCTGGTAGGTAAAGTTTATTTTAATAATAAAACCAGTCAAGAAAAATTTCAAAGGAAAGGACTTAAATATTTCAGTACTCTAAATATATTAAGAACCCAGATGAAAAATTAATAATATTAAACCTACTAAGATGAAAAGAAATACATAGTAAAACAAGACATTTTTCCCAGGTCACGTTGGCAGTGATTGCTTTTTAATGAAAGGCATTTGTTAATGACAGGACACAGGAAACGTGACTACAGACCTAGTGGGCAATGACCACCACTTTTTGGTAGATAATTTTGCCTTTCTTTTAAAGTCTGTGAGTTTATTTGACCATGCAATTTTCTGTTGGGCTTTTTAATATTAAGGTCATTGATTTCCCGTCATTTTCAGTCACTGACATTGTTTTAGAAAACACTGAGTCTAGCAAAACTGGAATTTTTGCTCTTGGAAAGTGTTTTCCATTGTAATGCTGTCCATCTATTGGTGGAGGCCATGCTCAGCTGTTCTAATAAGCCTGGCGGCATCTGCATGGTGTGGCCATTCTGCTGCCAATCGCTGGCAAGGACCCAGTACATGTCACATTCTTCTTGGCATCTATCATATGGCATTTAACGTCCAGGAATTCCTTACTTGCTGTTTCTCTGCTGGCAGTTCTGTCTCATCTTTTGTTAGTTCTGGCCCAGGGAAAGTCTGGGAAGGTCCTGAGGACATTACTCCAAATGTCATCTTTTCCTCAGAAAGGTCAACAGACTGTTGACACCCACACTGGGTTTGTTTTCTGTTGAATTTTAGTTGTGTTTATTACCCCAGCAAGTAAAATCCTCTAAGATTCCCAAACAAAATAATGAAATGGAATGTTTTGTGGGTCTGGAAAAAATTCAGACTCTGAAATCTAGGAAATTATTATATTGCTTTTCTAACTTTTCTTTCAACAAAATAAAAGATGGCCTAATAACATGGAATTCAAGAGGTGAACGTTTTTATGACAAAACAAGGGCACTAAACTCTAGCCCGCTCATGGTTCTGAGACTGAAGTCTGCTCCCTTTGTTAAACAGAGACATTAATGGGGGTGGGGGGTGGGGTGGATTCCAAGATACAGACAAATCCCCACCTCCAATCCCATGTCATCAGAAGATCGGAGGGAGTATCAGAAACTGCCCATTTCTCACCCTGCAGGTTATATAATGCCCTGTCTTGATCCAGCTGCAATTCTTTATGTGGAAATGCCCCACTTGGGGATGCTCAGGTATTGACCACCTTGTAGAATAGGGTGAGGCAGATGTGGGGGGTGAGTAACAGGTGTGTTACTGTGGGGCTGGCTTGCAGCCTCAGGGAAGGGGGATCCCAGGGAACCTGGGGAAGGGACGCTGCTATAGCAGAGCCAGGGGGTAAGTAACCTGGAAGGGATTCATGCTTAGCGTTGGCCTTTGTTTATATTTTATTTTATTGTTTTTCCCTTTGGTATTTAGCTGTATAAGTTTTAACATATATGTGGTTATGGATAGCCTTCATAATTAGGATGTAATAAAATATAAAACATCTCTCCCCAAATCTCTCTATTGTTATCCTTTTATAGTGACACCCTGATCTCCTGTTCATACCGCTGACAGCCACTGCTGTATTCTCGGTCACTATAGTGTTGTCATTTAAAACATATTGCATTGGGGCTGGCTTCTCTTAGTCTAATGCCGTTGAGATTCACCTATGGTACTTTGTGTATTAACAGTTCACACCTCTCTGCTGCTGGGCAGCATCATTGTAGATACCCCACAGTTTGTTGATCTCGTCACCCACTGAAGGAGATTTGAGTGTTGACAGCTTTTGGCTTTCACAAAGAATGCTGCTATGAACATTTGTATTCAGGCTTTGGCCACACTGGTTTTGTCCTACAAGAAAGATTTGATGGAATCAGTGAAAACTCAGGCAGGGGGAAATAAAATGTGCTTTAGGGAAGAGATGTCTTCCTCTGAGAGATGCCTATAAAGATTTACCTGTCACAAGTCCTGGCAAGACAAGGTCTGAGAGGAAGCAGGAAGTGGGTCATGAGGGGTCACCAGAGGGTGAAGGTGTCAAGAGACATTTGCCACACAGACTGTTCTGGGGTAGTTGTCACCTTTGCCAGAAGTAGGCACCTCAGCAGTGAGGTGTCAAGGTAGAAATGGGAGGCCAGGGCCCAGGGAGAGGTGGGGCCATGGCAAAATGGCTGGCATGTTAGAGAATAGCTGCAACTGGGTGAAGGTGTGTTTCTAGGATGTATATAGTCCCCTCCTCATGCAGGCGGACAAGGGAGCTGCATGTGTTTATGGCAGAAGACCACCTCCCCTGCAGCCGCACACGAAAGGTGGGAGCATGCAGTATTGGCTCAAGCCAAAATTTTCATAGTGGAAATGACAAATGACCTCTTAATTCCCTTAATTCTGGGCCTGTTATTGAGCCAGGGCTCCATGAGTTTGTTTGGTTCTATAGGCCTATTTGTTTAATTATTTAGTAGTAATCCCTCCAACCCATCATGGTTGGGCTTGCTCAAGGTAATGGGGATTAGGTCTAGGAATTCAACCCCCTGTAAAGTTCTGAGAGAAAGGACCTCAGTTGACTCTCACCAGGGAAAAAAGGGAAAACTGGAGGGAAACACAGAGGTGAGGAGACTGCCAGGGGCCTCTCACTGTGCCTCATTCTGGCCCCTGAACTGTTGTCTAGAAAGCTTTAAATCTAACACCAAATGTCAACTCATTGCATTCCTCAAATCATGTGTTTGGCAGAGTCAGCAGTCATTTGAGCCCCTTCAATCCTTAGCCCTTCCCTGGCCTTGGTATCACCATTTCTGTCTTATCTTTTAACAAGTTCTAGAGTTTTCACTGAAACCAAAGGATGAGCTTCTTCTGATGATTGACTTCTTTCAATGGATGCATACTTTTTCAGTGAATGTTGGGCGCTGGGGGCAGTTCAATGGACTTTTGTGTCTGCTCATGCTTGGCTTGGAAAGTGTGCTTTCACCCTCTGCCACTTTGGGGTGCACCTCTATTTATTACAGCTTCTAACTGGTTCATCACCTCTTGTTCTTTGTCCTTGCTGGGGACCCTGACTAATTAAACTATTGCATCCCAGATATTTTCTTTTGTTTCTGATCTCAACAGCAGTGAGCTGTGTCCTCTTTGCTCAGCATGGAAAGGAAAAAGCCATTATTTGCATTAAAATAAAGACATACTTTTTGATATTAATAGCCCTAAAAATAGAGGTGGTATAGAAGTTGGTGCTGTGAAATGATTCTTACAAAATTATTGGTCTTTTTTCTTCCAAAGCAAGTCGCCATGTTTACAATAATTTTGAAATATATGCAGGATTCTTATAAATCCAAAGGTAGTGAAATAAATGGGAAGTAAAGACCTGTGTCTGAAATTCGAGGCTAGAATAATTTGGTAGAAGGGATGAATGTATGAGGAAAGGAGGCTAGAATAGCAGCTCTAAGCACTAGGTTTTTCACAGATCTGCAGTAACTTCCTGTTACCTCAGGCAAATAAATCCCTTCCCTCCCAGCCTTTATCTGTCTTTTATCTCACATTTACAAGATAAGTGGCTTGTAGTAAATTATCCCAAGGATCCTTCCAGTTCTGAGCAGAGGCCAGGTGTGAGATCATACTTGTAAGAGAGGCAACACTCAAAGAGAAGTCAGCTTTTTCTTTTTTGGGTTATCATCATCATCATCATGATCATCATTGTCTCTGGGTTGCTTCTTTGAAATTTGTCATTTTTCTAAATTTCATAGACCAAGGGGAAGCCCTACCAAATTGAAACAAAAGGAATCATCAAATTGTTATCACCCCAGCTGTTGGGAGATTGATTTTAGCAGGAGTTTCTGATCACTGAGCATGTTGGTTTTCTATTGCCATGTAACAAATTACCACAAACTTAGCAGCTTAAAACAGCACAGATTTATCATCTCTGTTTCCATGGGATGGTGTCCAGCACTGCCTAGCTGGGTCTTCTGCTTACTTAGAGTCTTACAAGGCTGCAGTCAAGGTGTTGACTGGGGCTGGAGTCTCATCTGAGGCTTGGGGTCCTCTTCCAAGCTTTTGTGGTTGTTGGCAGAGCCCATTTCCTTGCAGCTGTAGAGCTCATGGTGGCTTGCTGCTGCTTCGGGGCCAGCAGGATCATCTCTCCTCTAGTCTCTGAGAGCAGGAAAGGCCTTAGCCTGCTTTCGAATGGCTCGCCTGATTAGATCAGACCCACCGAGGATACTCTTTCCTTTGAGTAACTCAAAAAATCAACTGATTTTGGACCTTAGTAGCATCTGTAAAAATCCCTTCACCTTTGCCTTGTAATATATCCTAATCATAGGAGTGTCCTGCTTACTCTCAAGGAAGTGGGATCTTGGGGCTCATTCTGTTTATACTGAAAAACTTTTTTCTCAAATGAACTTTTCATTTGTCTTGTTCTGTCCCATACTGTTATAATTGTGGCCACTGGCTGCCATGCAAAAACATGCCCTGAGACAGTTCCCTAAGACATGTCTGTGTCCTGTTCTTTCTTTGTCCAGACATTGTCAGGCTTGCCAGACCAAGATACCTTCTACGACGTCGTGGACTGCTTGGAGGAGCTGGGCATTGCGGCCGTGTCCCAGCGGCACTTGAACAAGAAAGGGACTGACCTGGACCTAGTGGAGCAATTCAACATTTATGAGGTAACAGACCATGCCTTTTGCAAGGCATCTCACCCCCTGGGCCAATGTCAAAGGCTGAGGTAAACATACTCTAAATCCGTGGTTCTGAGTGTGGTATGGCAGAATCCCCAACACCTGGCAGCTTTTCAAAATGCAAGTTCTCAGGCCCCAGCCCAGTCCTGCTGAGTCAGGAACTCTTAGAGTGGGCTCAGCAAACTGTTATATAAGCCTCGTGGTGAACCTGATGCATTCTCAAGTGGGAGAAGCACCTGTCTAGGAGAAACTTGGTAGCTTGCCTATTGATTGATTGATTGATTGATTGATATTTTATTATAAAGAACATGTATTCCGGCTTTTTTGCAACGGGTTTGCTGCCAGAACACAGGTGTAGTGAAAACCACCGCTAAATCTAACCCAAAATGGGAAAGGAAAAGACACACATCAACATTGTTGTCATTGGACATGTAGATTCCGGCAAGTCTACCACTACTGGTCATCTCATCTACAAATGTGGTGGAATCGACAAAAGAACCATTGAAAAATTTGAGAAGGAGGCTGCTGAGATAGGAAAAGGCTCCTGCAAGTATGCCTGGGTCTTGGATAAACTGAAAGCTGAACGTGAGCATGGGATCACCATTGATATCCCTGTGGAAATTTGAGACCAGCAAGTATGTGACCATCATTGACGCCCCAGGACACAGAGACTTTATCAAAAACATGATTGCAGGCACATCTCAGGATGATTGTGCTGTCTTGATTGTTGCTGCTGGTGTTGGTGAATTTGAAGCAGGTATCTCCAAGAATGGGCAGACCCATGAGTATGTCCTTCTGGCTTACACACTGGGTGTGAAACAACTAATTGTTGGCATCAACAAAATGGATTCCACTGAGTCGCCTTACAGCCAGAAGAGATACGAGGAAATCGTTAAGGAAGTCAGCACCTACATTAAGAAAATGGGCTACAACCCTGACACAGTAGCATTTGTGCCAATTTCTGGTTGGAGTGGTGACAACATGCTGGAGCCAAGTGCTAACATGCCTTGGTTCAAGGGATGGAAAGTCACCCATAAAGATGGCAGTGCCAGTGGAACCACGCTGCTTGAAGCTCTGGATTGCATCCTGCCACCAACTCGTCCAACTGACAGACCTTTTCACCTGCCCCTCGAGGATGTCTACAAAATTGGTGGTATTGGTACTGTCCCTGTGGGCCCTGTGGAGACTGGTGTTCTCAAACCCGGCATGGTGGTCACCTTTGCTCCAGTCAATGTTATAACTGAAGTCAAGTCTGTTGAAATGCACCATGAAGCTTTGAGTGAAGCTCTTCCTGGGGACAACGTGGGCTTCAAAGTTAAGAATGTGTCTGTCAAAGATGTTCATTGTGGCAATGTAGCTGGTGACAGCAAAAATCACCCACCAATGGAGGCAGCTGGCTTCACTGCTCAGGTGATTATCCTGAACCATCCAGGCCAAATCAGTGCCAGATATGCACCTGTGCTTGATTGTCACACAGCTCACATTGCTTGCAAATTTGCAGAGCTGAAGGAGAAGATTGATCGTTGTTCAGGGAAAAAGCTGGAAGATGGCCCCAAGTTTTTGAAATCTGGTGATGCTGCCATCGTTGACATGGTTCCTGGCAAGCCCACATGTGTTGAGAGCTTCTCTGACTACCCTCTTCTGGGCCGTTTTGCTGTTCGTGACATGAGACAGACAGTCGCTGTGGGTGTCATCAAAGCAGTGGACAAGAAGGCAGCTGGAGCTGGCAAGGTCACCAACTCTGCCCAGAAAGCTCAGAAGGCTAAATGAATATTATTCCCAATACCTGCCACCCCAGTCTTAATCAGTGGTGGAAGAACGGTCTCAGAACTGTTTGTCTCAATTGGCCATTTAAGTGTAATAGTAAAAGACTGGTTAATGATTACAATGCATCTTAAAACCTTCAGAAGGAAAGGAGAATGTTTTGGTGGACCATTTGTTTTTTTGTGTGTGGCAGTTTTAAAATTATTAGTTTTTAAAATCAGTACTTTTTAATGGAAACAACTTGACCAAAAATCTGTCACAGAAATTTTGAGACCCATTAAAACAAAGTTTAATGAGGAAAAAAAAAAGAATATGTATTCTGGCAGGGCCAGCTACCTAATTTGTAGGGCTCTGTGTAAAATGAAAATGTGGGGGGAAAAAAGTGCTGTTAGAGATGCTACACATCTTTGTATTTCCTTCTGCAATCTGTCTCACCCCATTATGGTGTTTTTATTTGCAATTTAATGTCATTATAAGGAAAGAAAAACTAAAATTTAAAAGCATTAGCAGGAATTTTACTGTTCATCTTTGTATTCTGCGATGCCAGTTTCAAATGCAGTTATAAGAGCTTGAACTTTTATGAAGAATCAGCAAAATTACCCAGTTTGCTGTTTGTCGTTCTTGCATGCATATGTATTTTGCTCCTACTGGAATAGTGGAGACACTGAACAAATCTGACTCAGCTATTTTTGCTTCACTTCTTGATGTATGTTCATTCTGTCATCACTCTACCTTCAACTTACTGATGAGTAAGGAAGAACTGAAAGGAAAAGCAACTGTGGTCTGCCCTACTTTTTCGTTTTTTTTCTATGTTATCATTTCAGCATTAAGGGGTTGGCTAATATGGAAAAGTAGCATAGGTAAGAAAGGATAGGATAGGGCCCTTGAGTCGCCATCTCTCTGTGTAAAAGCAAGTTATGATTTGTTTGCATGGAAAGCATGACCTCCAGAGCTTCCAGTGCCCCAGCTTACTCAGTCATAGATGTACCACACTCACCCTATACTCACTGCCATTCTCACTGAACTCCCATGTACTGTGGGTGCACAAGGAATGGCAGACATGCCTGTTGCACCCATTTTCTCTACACATGCACATGCTCCATTGTCCCATTGGACTTCCCTTATAAAACACAAATTTAAAGTTAAAATTCATAAGAATTTCAAGATGGTGAAAGCCAGGCACAGAACCCTGCTGAGCATGAGCACAGAGACCTCGTACAGTAGCACAGGTCACATACCCACACAGCAGACCCTGCTTTGGGTTACAAATCATGGCTTTATGCCCTGTCGACTCGAGTCCAAACTGTTTCTTGTTGGTTAATTTTAGGTAAAATGCCCCCTTGTTATTAAAGTTATTTATCTGATGTAACTGTTATCTGGACTGCAAATGAAGGTTAGAGCACATTTTGTGAGTAGCAAGTTACATTCCTGGTTGCTAAGCCTCTTAGTCCCAGTTTCCTCCCATGGCTACTGGAGGACACAGTCTGGAAACGTGTTTCCCCTTGGATGGTGTGGCTTTGAAAAGGAAAGCTTATTCCCTTAGGTCCAAGCTTACCCATAATGATGGAGCGATGTTCTATCTGTGGTGTTCCACTTCTGTATTCCATTTTTCTTCTCCTAGATATCATTTGCATATCACAAAATTAATCATTTTAAAGTGTAAAGTGTAATGGGTTTTAGTATATTCACAAGGTTGTGTAACCATCACCACTACTATATTCCAGGATTTTTCATCACCCCCAAAAGAAACTCCATACTATCAGCAGACACTCACCATTCATTCCTACCTCCTATACCTCATACCTCCAAACCACCAATCTACTCTCTCTATATAGATTTGCATTTTCTTTAATATAAATGGACATTTCATATCAACGGAACCAACATGTGGTCTTTGTGACTAGCTTTCGCTTAACATGTTTTTAAGGATCACTCATGTTGTAGCATGTATCAGTATTTTGTTCCTTTTTGTGCTAATATTCTATTGTATGGATATATCACACTTTTTTATCAGTTCATCATTTGATGGACATTTGGATTATTTCCATCTTTTGGCAATTATGAATAATGCTGCTATGACCGTTTGTGTACAAGTTTCTGTGTTGATATGTTTCAGTTCTCTTGGGTAAATACCTAGGAGTGAAATTCCTGGTCGTATAGTAACTGTGTTTAACCGTTTGAGGAATGGCCAGACTTTTTTTCAAAATAGCTGCACAATTTTATCTTCCTACCAGCAGTATAACAAGGCTTCCAATTTCTCTATATCCTCCTCAATGCTTCTCATTGTCCATCTTTTTTTAATCACAGCTATCCCAGTGGGTTTGAAGTATTACACAGTTTTTATTTTGATTTGCATTTCCCTGATGACTAATGATGTTGAACCTCTTCCCATGTGCCTATTGGCCATTTGTATATTTTCTATGGAGAAATATCTATTTAGATCCTTTTGCCATTTTAAAATTGTGTTGTTTTGTTACTGTTGAGTTGTAATAATTCTTTAGATAGTCTGGATACTAGATTCTTATCAGATATAAAACAATGTGTTTTTTCCCATTCTATGAGTTGTATTGCTCTACTTCTCACCTAAGTGATCAGTCTGATTCATAATGATATATTGGGTTGTCGGAAAAGTCATGACGTATTTTTTCTATGTTTTTCGTTGCAAAAATGCATCATGACTTTTCCGACAACCCAATATATTGTAAAGCATTTCCTTTTTCCACTTATAAAAATAATATATACTCATTGAAGAATAGTTGAAAAATGCCAAAAAGTATAAGAGAAAAGAAAACCACCATGATTTTATTACCATGGTTAACATTTTGGTCTGTTTTCCTAGTCTTTTTTTGTATGTGTAGGTGTATGTTCTTAACTATGGAGATAACAGTGTTGTGTACTGAATCTCTATTAGAAAAAAAAATGTTAGAACCATTTTTTTTGTCGTTTAAATCTTCTTCACGAGCTTAATTTCTTTTCAGGAACATAATGTTCTGTCTATATGCACATAGCATGTACCATAATACATATAACCAGTCCCCTGTTTTTTCAGATTTAGATTATTTCCAAAGGTTTTGCAATTATAAATGCTGCTAGGATGAACAGCTTTATCCATAAATCTTTGTGCACTGCTGGAGTCCCAGGAGGGATATTTCCCAGCTACATGGCTCCATTGTGATCTTCACTGGGTAGAAGTGGGGAGACTGACATGTAACTGAGTATTTCCT